ATTCTTTTTTCCCCCCCCATATCTACATCCAGATATATATATATATATATATATATATATATATATATATATATATATATATATGTTTTTTTTTTTAATAATTTCTGAAACACCACTTCTTAGAAAAACTCCTACACTGTGCACCTGCATGCAGCTTTAGAAATCAAAGATTATTTTTTTGTAGGCTGCAGATGAAGGTCAGTGAGTCAGAGGTCTCAGTAGTACAGTTTGTGAGATTGTGCATGTTAGTGACGGTGTGTGTATGTGTGTTTGTGTGTGAGGGGGGTGAGAGGTTTTGGGAAGTAATCAATACAATGAGTAATATTTCACTCAGCCACTACTCAGACAATTTTATGATGTGATAGGTGAAAATCTTTTTTTGAATCAGATTACTTTAAAGAAGAAAAATGGTTAACAAAATATCTGCCCAACAGAGTTAAATTCCTGTGGTTTTCTAAAACTGAACCTTTGTGTCAGTCGAATTAAAAATGCACTTAGATCGTCATTTTTTTTTTTTTTTTACAAAGGAAGAATCTAAAGTTTTGAAAATGTCAGGCTGTTGTGTTTTTTTGTTGTTGTTTTTTTTGTCAGTGGCGCATAAACTACAAGAGCCCTTAATGTGAGGATGAAGGTTTAAATATTTTCTATACGTTTAACAGAATATTTGATTCATGCACCTGGAGAACATATCAGCAACCTTCAGGTATCTTATAAAACTGGTCAGTGTTATGAAAAAGCAACACAAGAAGTTAGATTTTTGGGCTCAAAGTATTGATGTGTTCAAAATAAAGATAAAAGACATCTTTATTATTCCCAGGAATTTGAGAAAACATTCTGGGTGGTAATAAGACAAAGTCGAACTTTTGGGAAAGCATGTCACTTTCCCAAAAGTAAAACTAGTGCAGTTTTAATAAAAATAATTTTAAAACGCATCACAGTGACAGTCAAATATTGACATAGATATTGTGATGGTCCAGTGCTGCTTTGGTGCTTCAGGGAGACATCATTTTTTGTAGTAAACACTTTATCAGCTAGGAATAAAAACAAAAATCGTCATTGTTCTTTGTGATAATTTTACCTTCATCAGTAAATGAAAAGGCTTGAGGGCCTTTTTGGGAACACAAAACCGTCTTTTGTCTTTATCGGAATCCCCAGTTTTTTCCACCTGTTTCAGCGTGTGAACTTTGACCCTTCCTCCAGGGGTTC